TTGGTGTACGCGTCAGCGGCGGCATCGTCCGTGAGCAAGAGAGAGCGGGGAATGTGCTGGATCCAATCCAGTCCGAGGAGTGTGGCGGTATCGGCTACATGACAATATCCGGATCCGTGTTGTCCATTGATGATGAACATGCAGTTGAACCGTCCTTTGAGGCGAATCCTGTTGTTGTTAGCGGCTTTCAGATTGACGTTGGCAGGCTCGAGCGATGGTTTCCCAAGTCGAATCCAATCCTTTGTTGAGACTAGCGAGATATCGGCGCCAGTGTCCAATTGCATCTTGACGTCGGTTCCATTGATGTTCACGTTCTTGAAGATCCGGTTGCTCTTGTTGATCCATGCGTGGTTGACTGAGATGAGTCTCAGATGTCCTCCTTGACGTCCTCTGCGGGATCCTTGGCGTTTCCGGCGGGATTTCGGGATTCGTCTGCTGTCCGTTCGGTTGCGGTTGCAGTCAGCATTCCAGTGAGGTCCTCCACAATGTCTGCATGGTGATGGTGGCTTCTGCTGCGTTGTTGGCTGTTCTGGTCGTGGTTCGGGTGTCCTCGCCTTCGGGGTCGAGGTTCTTCGTGACGTCGTTGATCGTTGTTGGTGGTGGGGGAATACAGACTTCGAGTGTCCAAAGAGAGTCTTGAGCCGGGTGATGGTCTCTTCGAGCGTCAGATCCGATGGTTTCCTTGGCAGGATGTTGTCGGCGTACTTGGCGAAAGCGGGGGCATCGAGCTTTGATAGGATGATCCTGGTTTGGGTGCCGTCGTCCAATGTTGATCCATCCAGTCGCAGAATGTCCTCGTACCGTGAATACCAGATTTCGAATGTGGTTCCTTCATCCGGGTCGAAGGAGAATGTCGGTAGTCGAGTCGTCAGCGAGTCGATAAGCCCTGTTTGGGTGTTTGGTTGTGCGGGAGCGGTTGGTGAAGTGCCTGGTCGTCCCTCCATCAACAGTTTGGTGATTTCTCGAACGAAGTCTTGGTGCTGCTTCGCTTGCTCTGCCAAGAGCAGTTTGACTGTGTTGACGTCCATGGTGCGTAGATCCTGATCGCCAGTTGTGATCCGAAAATGGCAAGGAGAGGTTTGTGATCCGTGCGCAGGGTGAATGTCCTGTTGGAGCCGTGACCTCGACACGTCACGTGACACACCACGTGGCACACGTTTCATAGGAGCGATATAAAAACCCCTTTTTACGCTCAATAATCAAAAAGTAAGTCTTCCTGCGGAATCTTTAGCATTTTCGATAGAGTGCAAAAATCAATTTAATTGAGTTATATTTTAAGCATTGATTCGATATGATATGATTTTAAAAAATTTAAACATTGTTCTAGCAAAGTTAAAAATCGAATGTTTGCATTTTTCGTAAAACTTCATTTATAATTTTGCATTTTAATTCCATTTTTTAAAATAAAATAATGACGAAATTCATTCGCGAAAAAAAAATGAAAATTTCATATTCATTTATTTCCATCCATTTATTTCGACCTACCGCAATTTTATGCATGGCCACTCATCACCGAAAACTCAATTAAATTCCGAAAATGAATAAAACATATGGCTGAAATTCAAAAATCCCAAAATTCGATCGAGACTTTGAAGTGATGAGCAATCTAAAGAATCCAGCTGTGGACAATTACGCGACTTGATTGCTCATTAACGAAATGGATTCGCATAAACCGGACCGACCATTATCTTTTTAAAGCGGGGATTCGAAGGAACACGCAAGTTTTTTCTGGGATCTTCTCGTCTGCCCATTAAGGGCCTCGTTCCTCTCGGATTTCTTTGACGTTTAAAAACGCTAAACTTGATATGGTGGGAAAAAGCAACGAAATATTGACTGATGCAATAAAAAACTTCTTAATGATCAATGACTTGTCTGGTTTCAAGACTCAAACAACGAATTGGAAGAAGACAGATGGGAAAGAACTACTGTAGTTATACGGTATTAAGGTCTGAATGGTTCAGTTACGACTTTTTGGATTAAAAAATGAGTAAACAAAAAAAAAGACGGAATTCGTTATAAATCACGAAACTAGTAACCAACATAGCGACGAAATATTTTAAAGGCGCATCCCCCCCCCTAAAACCGCATCAAAACCTAGTATAAAATAGTAAGAATTTGGAAGTAGTAATAAGGTATGAAACAAATATTGATAAAGATGAACCGAAATATTCATTTCCAGTTGGTCCCAAATCCAATATGAAATGTGTGCAACGCTTCTCCCATTCCAAATTGGAGAAGAGCAAATAGAAAGAGCAAAAATTGAAAAATGAATGAAATGAAATGCAGTGTGATGGCAGCAAAGCCCAAAAAAAAGTACAAAGCTGATCGGCAGGCAGCTTCAAAAAAAATTGAAAGCGTGCAAATAAACACCGTTTTGTTTTTGTCATCGGAACAGCAAATTCGCAAAAATGAAAACAAATACGGTAATTTAAAAATCGAAGCGAATTTCGTGCAATTTTTACGAAATAAAACGATTTCAGAGAATGTTTTACTTTTTCAATTTTAGATCCTGTAAATGCTAGGAGACCAATATGAGCCTTTAAACTAGGCCAGGCTTAAAGACAGTTTTCATACATTTTCGACGACACATCTTTTTAGATCTCCACCAATATTTCTAATCCTATTACCATCGTTTTCAAAATACGCTTTGCCTTGAAAATAACCAGAAATGAATTTGTGAGTCTATAAACAAACTGTGGACACATTTTATACACTTTTGCATTTTTCCAGATATTTTAAAGCCGAAATCCATAAAAATTGGCATAAAATTTTATGAGATGTAGGACAATTTTTGAGTTGGAGGCCTTGCGACGTCATTTCAAAAAAAACCTATTTCGAATCTAAAAATAGAGAACAAAAGTCACGTGGAATTGGCAAAAACATTGCAGAGGACTTCAATAAAACTCGAGTTGGATGCAAAATAAAACAATCTGTGAACGACACAATGCATATAGAATTTTGCAACAATTCGAGACGTCTTTCTCATATTCTAATTGAAGAGCAAGAGCGACTCGTTGAGATAATAGAAACAATTAGGAATAATTTGATAAAAGTGCGTTCACGCCGAAATTTTTCTCCCAGGGGTTTATTGCGCTCAAAACGAATATATATTTTCGTCTTATTTTCAGTTTTCATTTCATAAACATTTTAATATGATTTTCTAAGATTCTAATTAATTCTTTGGAATGTTTGGTGAGAGATATTTTGGGTGTCGAGCCCAAATTAATGTAAAAAAGAACCTCTTCAAGACCACGGTGGTCCGTAATAATATTTCGCTTCTTTTTTTTTTCATTTTTTGAATGACTTAGAAACTCTGCAACCAGTACTTTTCGTTGTTTTTTTCTTGGCATTACAAATCGTAAAATTTAGTACCAAACTGCCTATAAAATTGCGAACCTTAACAACAAGATGGTTACGATAATTTTTATTCTCTTCCATATTTTTCTTCATTGTTTTACGAGTTGATCACGCGATTCTCGTCGACCACTACATATGCTAAATATTAAACGAATCTCAAACAAAAGAAAAAAATGAGGGCGACAACGGCTCAAGTGCTTTGCGTGGGAAATGCAAATAGAAGAAGGAATTCGAAAAAAAAATGAGCAAAAATCGGAGAATCTATTAATGATTATTGGCACCTCTGACGAACACTCGTCTATCATTAAACAACTAGGAAGCTCGGAGAAGAAGAACAAGTGTTTTTGGTTGTACTAAAATACGAACGGAAGGCAGAACAAAAGCATTTAGGAATATTTATGCAGTATTTGACGCATTTCCCTTTTCTTTGGGATACATTTTAAAACAATAACACATTAAACCAACTTACTTTGTTAAATATTAGTTGGGTGAAACAGAAATTAAAATAATGGTAATACAGTAGGAAATCAATAAAAATAGCTTGAGACAATCCGAGGGAATTTAACTTTAACTTGCGTTTTCTTTTTTATTATTACTAATGTTTCTTGATTTTGGGGTGAAAGAAATATATTAGAAGATGGAAATCAGAATGACTAGTTTTTTTTTAATGAATCTCCTACAACAAAAATTCGATTATTTGCCAGCAATAACTAGTCGTGTAAAGTGTTTACCAAACAAAAAAAACACGAGTGGACACATAATTAATTATTCAATATTGAAAATAGCCATATACGGAACCAATGTTCATCAAATCGACCACCTTATCATTCGGCGAAAAGCCGTTGATAGGAGGCATTCCGGAACCGAACAAAAAAGCGCGTCAAAATGTGCGAATAAGCTGTCCAAACAAACAAATAAATATAAAGTGAGTTCCCACACCCCCGTCACAATAGTTTATATTGCCAAACGCATTTAAGGCTAATCATCATCATGAGGGGTTTCGAAACCAGTAATAAGAGAGAACTCTCTCTCTCTCTATAAGGAATATTTGCATGCACAAAAAAAAACCAACGGACCTTCGCCAACGTCGTCTCCATTTTGAGCTCATTTTGGAAAGTCGTTGATTATTTCCTGCGGATTCGCCTCTCAACAAGCATTGAATCCATATTTGAACCATTATGTGAATATGTCAGCCAAAAGTAATTTGGGAATCTGAAATTATATAAATTTAGGAATTGCCAGCGTCGTGACAAAATGCCGAAAGAAACAATAACTTTGTCCGGTATTGAGGCAAAATTAAAAGTGTAGATTAATGGGCCTAATAAGGATAGGCTAAACACGCACTTTCCTAAATTTTTTGGCACTGAAAATTTTCTAAAGTCACACGGGTCCCAAAAAAAAAACATTTTAAAATCACAATACTTAAATAATCATACAAGAAAATGAAATAGAAGCACTTGATTTTATATTTTCATGAATCGAAGTTAGAAATCATAAATCGTTCCAGCAAAGTTCCAGCAAAAAATGATAAGCTGCAATGTGCAATTACATGCATTCGTGTTTACGGACATTGTTGACCGTAACCCGTTGGCGAAAATTTTTTGGACCTTTTCTGTCGAAAAAAATCTTAAGAATTGAACATTTTATTTCGCAAATCGAACTCGAAATTTAAGGGCAATCATTCCAATTATGCGATAAATGAAAAATGAGCAAAACAAAATGAGCACATTGAGCCATAACGGAGTGGAGATTCCACGGCGAGCAAGAATTCCTAAAAAAAAAACCAAAATTAAGAGAAATTTTCTATAGGCTCTAAAACATCAGTATTATTGTTTTACAATTTCAAAACTCGATGAATAAATAGGTAATTTTGATACCTTCACCATCAAATGCTGGACAGTATTCATCAGCATTTGTTAAGACACTTGATCCATTTTGAGAGCACCCCGGAATCTCGCTGATTGTCTCCCATTGATTCGCCTCAAGTGCTTCAAATCCATGTTTGAACCATGAAATGTATGAAAACGGTTTGAAATACGTTGGAATATTGTGAGCATTCACGTAGAATCCTGAAAATCACTAATGATATCTGAAATTGTCCGAATAAGGGGGGTCACATAAAAACAACTTTAATTTTAGGATGTTTGCTCAAAACCATAGACATACCTCCAAAAACAAGCATAGGAAGTACAAAAATCGGCATAAACGTAACGACTAATCCCTCATCGCCAAATACACAAGCACCAACATAAGCTATAAATTATTTTTAAAAAATTGAAAAAAAAGTTTTTTAATCTTTAAAAAAATTAAAATTTGAGCATTTTTTATAATATGGAATCAAACAAAAACCGAACCAACAGAAACCGCGACCCATGTTAAGAAAACACAGACGGCGACGAATACAAAATAATTGATAACAGAGGCGACAAGACCTGAAACCGTTTATTTAGCGAATAAAAAGCATTTTCTTATGAAACCTGTCATCCAGTAGACTATTGTACCATAAAGAATGGGTAAAATCGTGTATTGGGGCAGTTCGGCCAAGCTTTTGGCAAGGAAATAAGCTTCAACTGAATATATGTTGGCTTTGTGCTCTCTTACGAATATTGGAAGTTCACTAGTAATCACCTAAAAAGGAAAACAATACTTCGAAAAAATATTTCGTTGATTACGTTGACAGAAGGAAAATAGAACAAGAATGTCATATCTCTGGCACAATTGTACATGACACCTTCCAAGTTTTGGATTGTCGGACCCGATAATTCAGTTCGCCAATTCACAATTCCCACAATTACGGCAGTCGCCTAAAAACGAGAATCGCTATTTATATGCGCGGCAGGGCTGCGTATTTTTCGTTTTTCAACTTTTTTCAGTATTTTCGAAATTCAAGAAAAAATTTTATAATGCATCCGGTAAAATCCAATTTTACAATCGAGTTCCCCGAAAAAATCCAAATTTATTTTTTCTCTCGGCTAGATCTTTACTTACGATAATTTGAGCAAATCGCACACGAAGCAACAATGGATCTCGAAAAGTAGTTTTCAGTGATCTTCGGAGAAGAACATTGAACTGGGTGGCAAACGATGAATTATATTGACTTCTGAAAAAAATATAAATTCCATATCCCAAAATTATTAGCACGATCATCTATTGTCGAAATTCTATCGTCAAACCTTTCTAATCATTTTAATTCTATATTTTCACTTACTCAATGTGATCATCGTCCATATCACAATATTCAGGAATTGTGGAGACTGCTGTCCGCGATTTTCGAAGCATCTCATGCCCAACGTCACTCATTTCGTAACTTCGTATCAAAAACTAAACAAATGTTTTTTTAAATATTATTTTTTCATATATACCTCGATTCTTTCAATATCTTGCGATTCTGTCTCCGGTGAAACCGAAATTTCGCTCATTACAAAGTCGGCTGGATTATAGGATTCCGGAACGCGAAATTTTGGGCCAAGACTGCACAACATATTTCATTTCATTGAAAAAATTTAAATTAACCTATCAAAAAATGGACATAATTTCTCCACACTTCCATGGTAAACAACTTTTCCAGTAGCCATGAAACACACTCTGAAATTGTTGAATTTATTTGAGAGCTTTGATTTTGATTTTTCATTACTTATGAAACATTCTGAACACCGTACTGCTTGGTTGATGAAGAACAACAATGATAGTTTTCCCCTTTTCCGCCAATGCCAAAAGGGCTTGAACAACCTGGGAAGCCATAAAAGCGTCGAGACCACTAGTCGGTTCATCACAGAACAAAATTTGTGGATCTGTGAGAATCTGAAATAAAAGCTGCACATGTAAAACAATACAATTGGCCAACTTCGCACGCAAAAGCTAAACGTTTCTTTTCTCCAATCGATATTCCTTTCATTCGATTCGGAATTCCAATCAAAGAATTCTGACAATCGGTCAGATTCATGTCCTTGATCACTGCATCGACTCGTCTTTTTCGGTCCTCTTCAGTGCTCGCTTTCATCCGCATCCAAGCTGTATAATTGAGTTGTTCTCTCACAGTGAGAGTACCACAGAAAATGTCGACTTGTTGCACATATGCGCACATTGAACGCATTTTCTGCTTTGATACTGATTTCCCATTGACGACAACATTTCCGCGATACTGAAACCGATAAAGAACATTTATTATTAACGGACGTATTCATGAAACAAAACTTGTAAAAAATTACATTAAAATGGCATATTTATTAAACAATCCTATAATGGTAACATGTGTAATTTTTTACATTTTTTTATTGCATGAATAGGCCCATAAAATAGTGCAGAATTTCAGTTGCAATTCGAAACAGAAAGAATTTCCGAGTTAAGCCACTGTAGAATAAATACGCAACAAATGCCGAAATATTGCAGAATTAATTTTTTTGTCTTCATTATTATATTTTTTCTTGAAACTATTATTTTAAAATTATATACTCTACTAATAAACGAAAATTGGTAACCTGTACTTCACTAGTGTCCAAATGTGCCAATATATTCATCAAAGTCGTTTTTCCTGCGCCACTTCCTCCCATTAAGGCCAATACTTCTCCAGGTTCAGCAATTCCACTAACTGAATTTGTAACAAATATTTCCAGAAATATACAACATATTATTTTACCATTCCTGATTACTTCTTTTCTTCCACCACCTTTTTGTGGAACTGTTGCGACAATATTCGACCAGGCGATTCGTTTATTTCCAGATTTCTGCGATGATTTAGACTTTAATGTCCTTAAATTTGATTTTGAGGACATTTTAACAAATAAAATGGAATTTAGAAATAGTTAGTATCGATGGGAATTGTATTATTAAAGTAATTCACGTCTCGTCAGAAATACTTTATTAATATAATTTGTATTAAAATAATACTGAAAATTAGCTTTTTGTAAATAATTTGTTTGATTTTCAGGAGTTATTGTTGCCATCAATGGAAGCCTTCTTACTGTTCTAAAACAAACGAGATCAAACCCGTATGGCTGTCGTCACAATTTTCTCGACAAGAAGTCAAATCATGAATACACCGGAGAATTTCATTTCCGCAAACCACATGGGCGGATTTCTGATGTAACCTTGTTTTCGTAACTATTCTACACCGAATTTAATGATTTTATATCGCAATGTTTTGGTAGATTTGTATTTGCAAACCGGAAAATCGTCGTCTCAATGTTTTTTGGCCACCCATTCAAAACGTTATCATCCGTATTATGATAAATGATTTCGTAGAAATCGTCCTTGAGTAGCGGACAAGATAATAATGTATACACGAGAAAAGTATTGGGATCTTCGAAAGCAATATATGCGAATTATAATTAAAATTGTAAAATATCTCTAAAGAAAACTATATTTCAGATGACGTGAATATGAGCGTCTTGCCCATTTCTGCAAACGTTTTCAGTTCCAAACCAAACATCCATTTTATTAATTGAAATGGGAAACACTGTGGCTCATATTTTTGATGATGAAAGCAAACACTCGAGCGACATTGGTAATTGAAAATTTATATTAACTCAGAAAAACGTTTTTTTTTTCAGAGAACTGCGATGATACCAGTGGCTACACTTCGGATTCCTCGTCGAGCAGTAATTTTTGAATCTTGACGAATTCAATGAGAATGCCTATTATTTTCAGGCGATGGAAATACCGGATATAGACAGAAGACTGTGAACGAGATTGACGAGGAACTCTTCATCCGCGGCAATCCCAATGATCCATATATCGTCGAGAAGAGAATGATAACTGGAACAAACTCCTGGACTTATCATATTCGCCCACGAGAAAAAGTGATCAAGTGATACTGCTTTTTTCTTTTTTGCTTGTTGTATTTTTGTAAATAAATTGTGGTTTTTGAATCGCCGATGCCGCCTTCGCGCGATTTGACGATTAAAAAAAATAACCTTTGGACTCTGGCGAAGGCGCTGCGTGGCCTGCAAGCAGTTGTTATCTAACGCGGTTTGTGAACACTCTTTTTCATGTCAATCGATCTTCAAAAGCGTCGAATGTTCTAGAATGACGCCTATCATCTCCCACACTATTGGATTTCAAAAACAAATTAAGTGGCACAACGAATTAGTTGAATTCAATTATTTGTCACGTGCCCTCTCCTGCGGATGGGGTTTTTGATATCAAATTAAGCAATTTATATAAGTCAAGGATCTCTGAAAAACGAGTTAAGTAATGGTTCATTTAAAGATGGTGTCATGAAAACGAAATTAAATGAAAAAAAATTGAAATAGAAACTCGAGGTCGAAAAAAAATATTTGATGCACTGTTTCTAAGAATATTTTTCAGTTTTTTTCGTATTACATGCTCTCCTCATTTCGATTGAAATTGGCTCCATCGAGTTAATTGCGATGTTTGTAATTTTATTGATAACACCACCGAATTTGGGCAATCAGAAATCAGCATTTCTGTTTTTCATGTCGAAAATCTGTTGACTTCAGCTTTTTTTTTAGACAAACACTAATTCCTACAAAAGTTGCAATATCATCAAACAGCGAAAATTCGGTGATCTTCGACTCTCGCAATTTTTCTTTCGACATACAATCATTAGTTCACGCGATTCACGTGAACTGACTACTATATTTATAAGCGATACTTTGACCGTTTGTCGATAAAAGCCGCCTTCGCAATTTGCACGGAAAGCACTTTCGATCGACATGCCAGCGTTTTTCTCCTTTAAAGTGCATCGTGAAATAAACAAATTGATAAGGTTTGAAATGTCGTGGAAATTTGGATGATTTTCGAGAAGTTGCAAATTTTCTGATTCACATTTTTTCTGATTTCTGATTAATACATAGATTATATATTAATTATAGTCTGTCCCACCCATAATTCTGAAATTTTGCCAATTTTCGGAAATCGCGCGACACCGGCAATATATGTAATAGAATCACCAAGTGCTTCAGATGGAATATTGAATAATTGCAAAGCTCTGCTGCGAAAATTTTGAATTTGTGCAAATATGTATAACTTCAAATTATTGGCGTTAAAGGAGTGTTGCATCAGACACAAGAACAAAACGCAATAGTTGTTTGGTATCGCTTCAAGACCTTTCGAAATACTTATTAAATAAAAAATCCGAAAAAATGATAAATATTTGCAATGGACTATTTTTCCATGGCCGGTGAAAAATTAGGCCATCCAACAGAATTCTGGCGATTTCTTTTCGTTTATTAGAATACTTCAAAATTTTCACCAAACCAGCATCGTTACTTGTTTGCACTGACCTTTTTTTATTGTTTTTAGTTGTTTTCAAAACGAACCAGTTCCATTACATTCCCCTTTTTAATTCGATCGCAATCTTGCCCAAAAAAAATGTTCAAGTCGAAACCCGAGCGGCGTTTTTCAACGAATAATTTTCGCAATCGCTTCGAACGCATTGATAAGACGAAAAATCACACAAACTATGCATCCGACTGTAGCACACTGTCCAAAAAACGTGGGGGCGATAAGAAGAGTCGAAAACCTTGAATCGCGATTCGTCGTCGCTGCAGACGATGAGATTTGATTTCGTTTCGCTGACGAAATCGACGCCGGGCACCCAAAACGCACCCAATCGTTCTCTCAGTTTTTTCTTTCACAAAGAACACCTGACGCTTTTTGAAAGTTGGTGTTTGAGAAGGTAAAACTCGACGAAGAACAGCCGCTTCGTCAGAAGCAAAAAAGAAAAGACGGAACGTCAAATATGAGAGCTTGGGAACAAGGAAAAAAATGAAGCTGTAAAATAATATTTCAGAGATCAATAGCGTATTTGGTACTTCATATTTTGAGGTCCATTCAATGCCTTCCTCCTTTTCGATCGAAAACTAATCATACAGCGAAAGCGGCCCCCTATAAATGTTTTCATTCCACTTTATCATTTCGCAAAAAATTTCATATCACAACTGACCAATTTAAACTAATTATCGTATTACATCATTCTAATCGCGCTTCTTTCAAATGAATTTTTATTGAAGTGAAATTGATCGTTTTGTGAATGATTTCTAGGTTCAAATGTTGCATCTTCTCTTATTTCAAACATCGACAATTGTGATTCACGTGAGAATTGAATGCGAGAGATCATCGGGTTATCCGAGCACAAGGAAGAATTCAAACAAAAAGCTATCTTGCGATTATTAGATTTATTTAGTCTTTTAATAATGCAAAAAAAGAGAACAAAATAGTGCATTCGAATGAGAAGGCTCAGAAGAAAACTGAATTGATTCCTGGCTAAGAAGTTTGCTCCAAGAAAACGGAAGCCGCTTCACGTGCTGCCAAACCATCATAATTGTCAAGAAACAGAATTTGACATTGAAAACGATCTTCGTCACTTCTATTGTGTTTTTGGCAATGGTTTCCGTAACGAAACAATGCATCAATAACCCAAATTGGGGCGTCGATTCGACCAATATCAACCATACGTATACCAGGTTTCTTCGAGCGATCGATCTGCTTCCTGTTATCGCGTGCTTCTTCTTCTTTCTTTTCTTTTTCTTCTTTTTTTCGGAATTCAATTGGCAGCAAGAGGACTCACGTTTTTTGATAGTTCTTTGCGGGGGCGACATTCTAAAATTAAGAAGAATGGTGGGTGCAATGTTACAATGATAATGAGGAAAAAACACTAAATTGTAGTCATTATTGTTGCCTAATTATCACCATTCTGGTAGATCAACCGCTTCTTGATGCCTTCCGAAAAAGGCGTCAGAATTCCGTTGCACTTTTCTTTAAAAAAAAGTGTTCTTTGCAACACAAATATCAATTCGGATGTTATTTTTGAGAGTGTTCACCTATTACGGTATTCATAATGGAAGCGAAGGACAAAGATTGTCGAAATAAGTGATCAGAGAACGGTGGTGCTGATGAAAGGCTGGGAAATTGTCCGCAGATGGATTCTTTCATTATCGGCAAAATTCAATTACCCATTTTTGGGTAGTTAAAGTCAATCATCATTCTCTGGTTCATAAGCACGGTCAACCAAAGATCGATCGATGTCAATTTTTGTACATTATCAATCGAACCACACTGCATTGCAGAAATCGATTTATTCAACAATAATAAACAAAAATCGAATCAGTACCTATAAAGGCGATATACCGGTAATGAATGGGGGAATTGTGGAAGGATGAGGTGGCCGATCAACGGCGAAAATCCCTCGAATACTCGTTGTTGGAGGGGGGAAAGTTGAAGAAAAAAGATCACATTGAGGGTTTAAACAATGACGGGAGGCTGTGAGTTTTGTTTTTGACTAGATTTGAATAAAATTGAGCGAGAATCTACACAATCCTAATATTCCTCTTCAGCGATGTCGAAGAGTTGAGGGCTCGGCGGCCTTGACAGAATTCGCTTTTTGGTCGGCCGAATCACCGGGCGAAGTGGCGATGCCAAATACGGCGATGTCAAATGGCGGAGCATCTAGAATAATTGGCATTTATCATTTGATTCGTGCGCTTTGTGCCACTCACTTTCTGCTCAATATCTGATAGGCTTTGTCTCTTCTTCTTTTCAGGCAATGACGGTGTGATCGACGGATTCTGCGGGCTCTTCTTCTCATCACCGCAGCAGTTGATGACGCAGAGGATCGTCATCCAGAAGAGCTGCATACACCAATGCTGAAGCTTCTCGATAACCGCTTGTGCGAGAACCTGACGCATTTGAGGCGAAGGCATCTAAATAAAACAACAAATCGATAATTGAACGAACCAAGTATGGAATAAACACACCTTTGAATTGCTTGTCGACGGCTCGACATCGTAGATCAAATTGTGTTGCATTGTGAGTTGGCGAAAATAAAATATGAATTTCGGAAAATCGTGAACAACACGCTGAATGTGAATGTGGGTTTGAGAGTGACGGGGCGCCTGCTGGTGTTGTTCGCGGGGAGGCGGTCTTTGGGGCGGTCGGGTCGGCTGCCTAATGGCTGGCTGATGGTGCGGCACGTGAATAACACACCAACTCGAGTGTTCTTTGGAACCCCTCGTGTGCCGTTTCTTTTTTCAAAATCAATTACTGATAGTTGATCGCTTTCCGCTTATATACTAGTGCCTCTTCAAGACTCCGCCCACTTTTCACCTTGAATGCAGAATCGAACGTCTTTCAAAAGTGTTTTCGTCGATGGGTGGAGGATTCACATGCTGTTGGTGTGGTAGATCAAAACGACGGATAAATAATGCCATCGTTGATGGTTCACGTGCGTTGTTGAGGAATTATTCAATGCGAAAATAAATATTAGACTTGAAATTTTGGTTTATTCATGAAATTGATTTTTTTTTTCACAAAGAAAGTATCAAATTACATCAAATGTGCATTTTACACATTTTTTTATTTGCTGAAAAAATCGATGAAACCTTCAGCATTCCAAGCTTTTCGGTCCTTAGCTTGAGGGGACCATGACGTGATTACGGCTCCATCCACTATTTTTGTTGTGATCGTCTTCCGGAGCAAATCCGACTGTCTCGTGGGAGACCTTCCTCTTGGCCGTGTCCTGAAATACGTTAGCATCCTTTTTTGAAGCACATGCTTTAAAAAAATTCAAACTCACTCGGTTGATTTTCACAAAATTTGTTTCAATTTTTGCAAAATATCTTTGCTCTGAAACTTGGAACCGAAAAATCCACAAACTTGACATTTTAAGAAATTCTCGTTTCAACTGAAAAAAAAAATCAGATCGAAAAAATTGGTGATGATTGATTGCAAATTAATGTCAAATATTACTCAGCTATTTACATTTCAATATTTCACAATTTTTATAACAAAAAATTCTCATTAAAATTTTAGTTAAAACATTTTGCGATCATCTGGTTGGTTTAAGAACCTTTATATTAAATAAAAATGCATACTTCATCTATTTTTTTTTATTTTGCTAAAATTTTGAAGGATTCATATGGCAGGAGACGTCGCACACATTCTACGGACAACTAGCTAACCTGGAATATTGTCCGCAGCTTCGATTTTATACATTCGGAAGTTGCCGAATAAAACAACTCAGTTATCCGCTATCTCATTGGTTCTTCGAGCATCCTCTTGCTCCGATTTTACACACTTCCCAGTTGATTAATTGTGTTTGTTTCAAAACGTTGGTCATTTCCTCTTGCTTGTGAAACCGTGTAGTGTACGCAGATTCAACTGTTATGCATTGGGACCACAAGACAAATAAATGATTGATAATCACTACTACGGTGCGATTCCAATGATTTTTGCGTCAAGGGACCATCGAACGCCGGCAAAGGGTCAAACACATGAGAGAGCACGTGAAAATCGTACGTTTGGTGAATCTGATGCAATTGTTTTGGATGCTCATTAGACAAAATGACGCCATGCCATTCTCTTTCTAATATTCTTGTCTGCGGACAATGATCCGGGAATCGGTCAACCAACATGACGCCGCTGGAAAACAAGTTATTTGAAAAATTTTTCTCTGATATAAACACCAGTCCAGAAAAAAGGGGGGGGGGCATATTTGGCATATTTGCAATGTTTTTGCATCATGATTGATTACTGTATTTTTTTGTCGATTTTCCATTCGTTCCATATGATGTCGGGGGCAGTTTGAAGCGCAAAAATGTACGTGCCGACGAATTCGAAACATGTGAAGTCGACGCCCAGCCCCTTCTCCTCCTTTTCTCATTCGCCTCTCTCTCACACCCATTCAGATTACGGTAGGTGTACACCGTGGTGCTCGTAATTATGTTTCCGCACGCCGACCGCCGTCCACGTGTCATCCACATGAATTCGCACACAATGACCACAAATGGGGGTTGAGAATGAACAAAATGAACTAGAACGATTTGGGTGCAATCGCGTGGTGAGACCAATTTCGCTGCAACGACGACATTATACCAAAAAAGACAAAAAGCTGGTTTCCTCAAAGAACCCGCAATATGTCCGCAGCAGTCATTGTTTGAGATGCGCGTTTCAATTTCGAACCTAACCCACTTTGGGTCTCTATTCTCTACCCCACGTCATTTCGAACAACTCCCACGGAACGACGATGATGTTCAAATTGCATCAGACTACAAAGCCACTTTTTTTTGCAGACCTGGTTGTTTGTTTGTTTGCCGATCAGCTTCATCTATAAAAATCATTGATAAGTAGTGGGACGGCGAACGAAGCCAAAACAAATGATAATCAAGGGAATCAGATTCTGAACACTTGATGCGGTGGAATCAAGAAAGGGAAACCACAATTCTCATCGGCGGACCCCTTTTTTTCAATCGAAAAATCGGGAATTTCTTTTTTCGACACACCAGACGCCTCAAAATCTAATTAATATTCACAAAAATGAGTGTGGGAAGACATGGCAAAGATTAAGATTCCATTTTTGGCCAACCATTTCGATCAAAAAACATTGCCCGCTTGGATGTGCCTAAGCCTTGTCCACAAATCATAACTGCTAATTAACGCTTTGATAATTGCTCATTATTCAATTTTAAACACTACAGTAGCCATTGATCGGTGATCAGCAATCACTATCAGTATTTCATCATTCTTCTTCTTCTTCTTTTCTATCTTCGAAGCTTGACGACGACAAGCGAGGAGGGGGGCAAAGTATAAAATGCAGTGATCTTTACGATAAATTGATTTCACGTGAACCCGGCCGATTCCTTCTTTGTGATGCCATCGGTCTGATATGATTCAGCGGGGGTTTACCAACGAACTCCCGATCGGCCGACCGAGCGACCGACTTGATGACGACAACAGTTTTTGGCTTCTAGCCAATGCGCATCGCGTCGTTGATAATTATCGCCTATATTTGGTGTCGGTCATATGCAAAACAGTCGTGATATTATGAATTGATCTATTGATTCTTTTGGCAATGCCTGTTGGTTTAGGACCCCCGAAAATTATGATTTCAGATTGAAATTCGTCTGAGAGCCTATTGGTAGTAGTCTCAAGGCGCAATATTTTTGAAGTCCAGAAAATCCAAAAAATTGGAGTTCGATTCCTTTGCTTCTGGGCAAGTAAAACCCGTAAACTGTCCGCAGAAGATTATTTTTATATGATGAGCTCACGAGCAAGAGATTGGCCTCAATTTGTGAGGAACCCCCTGTGTGTCTCACAAGGGTATCTCGCAATTCATAATAAATCAAACAATTAATCTAGAAACAATACAATTTTGGGTGTCAAACTTGAAAATGCTTTCTGAAAACCGCCGAATTAATCAGTGTCCTTTTATGATGGTCCCTTGAGTTTCGCGATGTCGAAGCTCTCGAGTTGCGTGGGAACCCCCCCCCCTTGTGCACACCGCCCCGCAATTATTCAAGAGGACGCCGCGGACCCTCTTGTCACCGTTTTTGTTCAATTTTTTTGCTCATTTCCTCTCAAGAAGAACCCGTCGAAGCGGAAACATGAAATTTTGATGAGTGCACCACATAGGTTCTTTAAACAAGTTTCGCGAAGAATTTTTGAACAGTTTGATGCAAAATTCTATGGTCCTTTGAGCATTTTTTTCCAAAAAATCTTTCAAAGAAACAATTGAAACATCAGATTCTCGAATAATTGTCTCGCAATATACTAAATTCCAAACTTCAAGCAATTTCAGATTTTTCATTCAAACTCGAACCGTTTTGCAATTATGGTCTTGACGCGATGCTCCTTTAATTGATAAGCAATTTTCAAGAATTAAATTTAAAGTTTTTTGTCCGCAGGTGTGAAATTATATTATTTTTAAAGGATATTCAAATTCCCAATGTAATGTTTGAATTCAAATTTGAATTACCGTGCCGAAAACATTCGATGGTCCCTAAACATCCAATCGAATCGGATCGGTTTTTTTTGCTAAGTCCAAAGTGCACAAATTGATTCAAGAGACCCAATTCTTAAATTTTGGTTATTTTTGATGATTTTAATGGTTCAAATTAGCAGCAAAAAAAATCAGTGTCATCTGCGGACATTCCTAATCCAGCAAGTTTCCCTCTATGTATGTATGTATAGAATAATAGCTCAAACATAAAAAATTTTGATTTCTCATGACAAAAAAATGTCTCATAATTTTTTGTTTTAATATGATTTATCATTTTAACGTGCAACACTGGGATATTTTCAGAAGAGTTATTTTCTCCACCTGTCGTTTGCCATTTTTTTCGCAGAAAAAAAATCGGATAGAACGAAACCAGCTTGATTTTTGCCTTTTAGTGGCCCCCAAAGACCACTTTAATAAAAATTTATTCGTTCATTGAATTGCGTAAGCCTTAGTGGACTATATTCGGCCAGCCTAGATTCATGATCTCTTTGTTAATTATACATACATAATAAACATATATTATTGAGAGATCACCGAAAAAAAAACATTAAGAAGCCTGGCATTTAAGCACCCATTATTCCAGCATAAAACATTTTTTCTATATTGTTTTTTTATTATATCGTATAGTCAGCTAATATGACGATTTATTTAAATTCAAATATATATATATATATATAAAAATCAAATATATCAAATATATATACTATATATATATATATATATATATATATATATATATATATATATATATATATATATATATATATATATATATATATATATATATATATATATATATATATATATATATATATATATATATATATATATATATTATTATTCATCCAATTTAGAATTTTTGTTGATTTTTTGGATTTTGTATTCCTCAATTTTCACAAAAAAGTGACACTTTTTCGTTTATTTGGGTAAATTGACTCGTATGCTCCTTTAAATGAGGTCTCGCCTATAAAACGTTGCAAACAAGCTTCTATCATATTGAGCAATGAACGGAGACTCCGAGTTTGATCATTT